ACCAATTCATTGGTTCAAAGGTGTTTTTATGGGTATATGCTAAGATGCTCTCTTCACCTAGGTGTTTACATTTTTCTAAGATTCTCTCTTCACCAAGATGTTTACATTTTTCATTGTGGATTTTTATGGGACAGATCTTCTGTTATTACAGGTGCAACGTATTTTTCTTACTAGAATAGCTTGTTGTGCTAACTGCTTCTGTGCATGGAGTTATTTGGAGCAGGAGCACCAACAGCCACAGAGGAGAGTTCAGGCTCTTCATGGCAGTCCAGGGTCAGGAGATGCATTGTGTCTCCAGGCTGACCAGGAGTGCCTGTGCAGGAGCTGCAGGGAGCAGCTTTCAGGATGGTTTCAGGGTGGTAGAACTGCGCCCACATCAGCTGTGCTGGCTCCAGAGCTGGCCTGGAGATGCCAGCGGGCAGGGGAACAAATGCTGCCCCTTCCAGCTCCATCCCTGTGGGCTGGAGGGGCTGCATGTGGCCTTGGTGCCAGGCTGGTCCTGCAGGGCTGATCCTGTTGGTGGCACAGGCAGGAGTGGGCAGCACAGCTCCTGCTCCTGCTGCTCAGAGCCAGAACAGCTCTGCTCTGTTAATCCCATTTGTGCACATCCTATCTGGTTTGGTTTTGCACTCCTGGCTCAGAACAAGTTTGATGTTCTCTGTGAAACAAACAGTTCTGAGTCCAAGGTCTGGTACAGCCCTGCTCCATCCCAGCACGAGGCCAGAAGTGTTGCCCAACTGGTGCTTCTGCAGTTCATGGTCCTGGAAATCACTGTGGTTTGCAAAAACTTTCTCTTCCCCTTTGAGATAATTTAATTTTCTGTTCTAGGGTAAAGTAGTAACTCCAAAACCTACATGATCACATGTATTGTGCTTGTAATTCTCAGCTTGCTGCTAATGCCATTTCTGCATAACCAGAGTGGATGAAGGGACTTTTTTCCAGCAGATTTAGGAGTTAGGGAGTGCATTTTTTGACTGCAGGTCTCCTCCAGATGTCACAGACTTCATAAATTATGTGTATATATATACATATATAAAAATATATATCTTGGTGCTAATACTCTGCATTTGTCCCAGCCATCCTGCTTCTCTCATTGCTTCTGGTTAGCTATGAGAAATTTAAAATACAGGCACTTTTTATGATGATTTATATTTGACTTTGTTTAAACTGGGGAAATCATTCCCTGAAAACCTGCTGGGTCTGACAGCAAAAATCTAGTTACATGTAATGAATGATATCTGTGTTAAAATTAAGTCTGTTAGAAAGCATCAGTTCTAAGAGTGGTGTGAGACAGTGCCAGTGCTTACAGTAAATAGATTTCAAGGTAACCAGTGTGTTTGGATTAATGATTTCTTCCTGTTCTGTCTGCAGAGCCATCATCATATCTGGAGGACCAAACTCTGTGTATGCAGAAGATGCACCGTGGTTCGACCCAGCCATATTCACAATAGGAAAACCAGTGCTTGGCATCTGCTATGGCATGCAGGTGCTCTTGGGGACAGCACAGGGTCCTTGGGGCTGGGGCACACCTGCAGGAGCCTGTGAATGAATGTGCCTGTGCACAGCCTCCTTCAGGCTCATTTCTGCGTGGGCTGCAGGGGCAGTGCTGCAGGAGCCACTGCAGCACCCACGGATGAGCTGAGCTTGCTGTGTGCTCCTCTCCTGGCTCTGCCTCACCTTGTACCTGCCTAAAGTGAAGGAGGGCAGGTCTGGGTTAGAGATTAGGGAGAAGCTCTTCCCTGGCAGGGTGGGCAGCCCTGGCACAGGGATCTCCTGGATCCCTGGCAGTGCCCAAGGCCAGGCTGGACAGGGCTGGGATCCACCTGGGACCATGGAGGGTGTCCCTGCCCATGGCAGGGTGGAATGAGATGGGATTTAAGGTCCTTCCAACCCAAACCAGTTTGGGATCAGTTGCATAAATGGTTTTGCTTTGCTGCAGAGCTGTGAATTGAGCTCCACACTCCTGGTTTTGTCAGAGTAAATATAACCTGTCAGTCACTCATTGATTCTGCCCAGCTGCTGCTGAGAAAGGCACCTCTCCTGGAAGGAAGGGGAGCAGTGTCTCAGGCATGGGCTGTTCCTAGCAGAGTTCTTCAGAGTGCTTAACACTCCTTCATGAAAAAAGAAATAACCCTTACTTCCCTTTGGAGCCTCTGGTGGTCCTGCAGGGATCTGGTAGATCCCAGCTGGGCAAAACTTCCAGGGAGACCAGGGCTGCTTTAGGTGCATGACTTCTGCCCCTGCATCTTGGCTTCTCCAGGGTCAGTCCCAGAATAAAACTAAGGGAACAAATTCAGGTTTTTGGTGTGGTCTCAGGTACTCAGCTGGTTTGCAGAGCAGCCATTTCTGAGGGAAGGGACTGCACACTATGGAATATACATAATTTTGCAAATCTGCTCTGCTCCCTTTGTGTGGCAGTGGGGAACGAGCCCAGTACAGAGCCAGGATTAACTCTGAAGGGAATCCTTATAGCTTTGGGATGTGGTGATGTGTTTGGAGGTGAGGGATGGAGCAGGTGGGGAGGTG